GACAAATCATCCTGATTGAGGGAATGGTCAGCATGAGGCCGTGGTGGCATCCAAGGATCACAGAACACGGAAACCCAGGGACCGGTTCTGGAATCATGATTGACGGCTCATGGACCCATCATGTCACAGGAGACCAGGGCCCAGGATGGAAGACTAGGAGAGTTTCTCGGGGCGGGGTGGGGGTGGCGGGTAGTTCTGGGGCTCCCTGATGGACTGCGCTGGGGCGGGACTCAGGACCATGCAGCCCTGGTACAGCGATGGGGTTGTTCGTGGATGCCGCTGCACTGAAACCTGTGAGCCAGGACTTGCCCGTACGGCCTGGGACACGGTGTGGATGGACCACTTTTCTCTCTCAAATCAAAAACCCTGAGCTTGCTGCCATGAGACACGGAGAACTGCCCCTGTGGGTTTCTGAGACTGTCACTCTTCATGACAGACAGACAGACACCCACCCACCCACACACACTGTTTCTCTCTGTTTGTCTCTTACCCTGATTCCGGTTCTCAGGGCTTCCTCCGCAGGCAAACCAAGCCCAGTTCCCTGTCATTGAGTTGATGACGACTCACGGTGGGACACGGGGTAGACCTGCCCCGGGGGTTTCTGAGCTGGGGCTCTGTACAGGAGCAGCCAGCCCGGTTTTCCCCCCACGGGCCTTTGCTCTCCGCACCCTGCAGACACGGCGCTCTGTGCCGGGGGCAGTTGGAGGCTGCCCTGCGCTGGACATGCTTCCCTTGGCTGATTTCCCAGCGGGCTGAGCCCCTACTTGCTGCTCTACCCCACGGCCTGTTCTCACGGCACCTCAAACCTTCGCATGCTTCCCAGACGGCAGTCCAGTGTGAATTCGACCCTGGGCAGTGCCGGGGAAACCCAGGGCCTGTGGCTCTGCTTGTGGTGATCCCCAGCCCTGCCCCCAGCCCTGCCCGAACCCCAGCGCCAACCCCTCTCAGGGGAGAACACACAGCCAGAGACCAGCATTCAGGGAGCGGGGTGGACAGACGCCATGGGAAGGTTCATCTGTAAGCCGGGGGTGACGGAGGCCACCAGAAGCCGGGAAGGACAAGGAAGGGTCATCCCCCCCACTCCTGTGCTCCCTCAGAGTGTCTGGGGCCAGGCTGGCCTGTGATGCCTGGACCTGACCTTCACCTTTCAGCTCGGTGTGGACATCTGTACCCACCCTCCCCGCTCCATCTGTGACAGGAGGACCTGCCGCCGAGTGGCATTTGTCAGTCGGTCCCCCCCTGGACCCTGGGCCTGGAGTGGATCGCAGCCCCTCGAGGGCCCATCCTGGACCTGACCCTGTGGCTGAAGCTCCCTGAGGTGGACCCTGTTTCGTTTTAACTTACTATTAATTGGGAGTTCATACATATATCATTCGGTAGTTTGAGCATATCAAACAGAATTGTCCGATTGCTACCATAGTAGGTTTCCAAACATTCTCGGTCTTCCTGGACTCCTTGATAGCATCTCCCTTTTACCCCCACCCCCCCACCCCGACCCACCCCCTTGGACGCCTGTTCTGAAGCTCCACCTCCAGTGCAGCGGCTCAGACTCCCACCACGGCACTGCGGAGCCCCTTCCCCAGTGCCCTTGCTCCTCCGTAGCCCCACCATGCGGGCCCAGGCCGCCCCCCACCCCCACCGGCACCTACTTCATCTGGTACAGGTTGTTGGTGCCCCGGTGGTCAATGTCGTGGCACAGGCCGGCCGTCACCATGGCAAAGGCCTCCAGGTCCGTGTAGTAGCTTCTCAGTTTGCCGGTCTGCGGGACGGGGTTGTCTGGGTCTGACTCGTGCAGCCCTGGCCCCGGGCCTCCCCTCGTCCCTGGAGGCCTCAGGTGCACCGGGCCACTGCCTGGGGGTGGGGGTGGGATGAGGTGCACCAGTGCTAGGGACCCCTCTATGTGGAACAGCCCGACCCCCTGATGCTCTAGGGCCAGGCACGCGGGGTGGGGGCCTTTGGTGTATCACCCCTGGTCACCAGGGGCCACGTGGACACAGCCGGAGAGTGTTTGGGCCAGGCCAGCGTTCATCCTGCCCGCCCCACCCCCCCTGCAGACAGTCCAGGCTCATGGACCGTCTTGCCCTCTGCCCCCTGCAGACGGCCCGGGCTCGTGCGTACCATGCCCTGCCTCCCCCACTCCCTGAAACCCTCCCCACGTACCATGAGCAGCGTGAACATGGTCTGGGCCACGTTGAAGCCGTGGCGCCAGTTGTGGTAGGTGATTCTCCGGTAGCCTTTGCTGACGGAGAACAGAAAGCGCACCAGGACCTGCGGGGGTGGGAGGGGCACGCTCTGAGCTGGACCTCGGCTCACCCTCCCACCAAATCTGCCTCCGTCCCCGCACACCCCCTCCCGTCCGATTGCCCACTCTTCACGGGTTCACCAGCAGCCGCCTGACCCCAGTCCAG